ATTCTTAATCCATTCATTTGTTAAACTGTCCACTGCATTCTCTACCATTCCATTGTCGATTGCAAGTTCCATCAACTGGCAATCATTTAACAAGCAAATTTGATGTACAAATTCTAATGAAAGTTCTTGAATTTTCAGATATTTTGAACGAATAGAAGCAATGAGAAATTGAAGTGCGTCAATATTTTCTTTAAGTAATTTTAAATACGATGGTAAGTACTGTTCAAACAGGAATAATTCCTTGAGAAAATATATCATTTCAATAAGAATATCATTTGAAGCTTCTTTTAAATAACTGAATATTGCCAATACAAAAGAGTTCATTGATAACCACAATGAATCACATTTCTTGCACCATACCAGTACCATCTTTAGAACTCTCTCTTTACATTTGTCTGAGTCATACAAAATTATACTAACTAATTGTTGCATAATTCCATTATCTAATGCTGTCTTTATGATTCTTTGGAATGACTCTGATGTATGTTTCATTACAATCAACATGATTGCCATTACATCTCCAAAGGACCGTTGGAGCAATTCATGAGCAGTTTCATATATTTTCATTGATATAGACTCGCATTGGAATGGTAATTGATGAGTGTATGAAGCTAAAAAACTTCCAATAGCCTTGAAGACTTGAGCATCTTCACAGTTAATAAGTTCTTGAGCAACAGATAAAAACTTATTGATAAATTCTTCAGTTAACAATTCATTTCGTAGTTCTATTTGAGCTTGAAATAGTAATGCTAATATATGTAATGACTCAATAAAAAAGGTGATATTAATTGATGATAATTGATTGATTATATTTGATATTAAAAATGATACAATTCCAGTTTGTTTGAGTATTTCTACAGATTGATAAGTAATTCCAAGAGAAGTTTGATGAAGAATTTTTAAAACCATTATTAGTTTATTACTGTTTTGTTGGAATAAAGGAACAAAACATTGAATCATAGAATTAACAAGACTTTGGTCAATTTTTACTTCTTTGTCAGAAAGAATTTGATAAATAAAATCAATACCTGTGAGGTCATTACTCAGAACCATATTGATTCCTTTTCTTATAACCTAATCAATGATTGTATTAATTGTGTTTTATGTAAATAATCAAGAAAAATTACAAACGCATTCATCACTAAATCTTAACTCTTTTAATTCATTTTCATTTCTTAATTTTTGAAGTAGTTTTTGTCTTCTTTGTTTCCTGAGAGAATTATGTATAGCTAATCTTTGTCCATTTTCATATTTAGTAATTCTAAATGACATTGTCTCTTTTGGTAATAAATTTCAAGTTCAGTTCTAATCATAAGAACATTCAAAATATTCCATCAAAGGAAATTTAGAATATTTTAGTGTTATGAAGAAAGTAAACAATGAAAGAAGAATGGTAAAACATAAAGATTAAAAAGGAATAAAAAATTATAGAATGAATGATTTTAAATTCAATTAGTAGTAATAGCTCCCAAATTGTAATAGATATGAACATCAACTCCTTCTCGGTATACTTCAAATCCAAATCCTTTATTCAAAAATGAATATTCAACAGCTATTGGTTGTCCAAATGAATTTAACATAGATTGGTGTATAGAAATTTCATGACCAGGAACACTTTCAACAAGTTTAGAAATAATTTCAGCAGTTGGTTGTGGAATAATAACACCAAGTTTAACAAATCCATCAGTAGAGGTAATAATAGATAATGTGATTTCTGAGACTGAGTTTCCTAAATTACAAATAACTTCTTCTAATGTATTAGAAATAGGTGGAAATCCAAATGTTGAACATGCTTCTTTAATTACTGTTAATTTAACTTGATTTGGTCCAACTACTTTAAATTTAAAGTCTGTTTGTCTAGGTGGTGTAGCTCCCATATCTCTTCCAACAGAAATAATAGAATTCATTCCATGTTGTTCAGCCCATTGAACTAATACATCCAATGCACTATTTCCATTACCTTTATCTCCTGCATTTTTACCAATAGATAATTCTGTATCAACTGGGAAAAACCATCCACCATCCATTCCTCCTTGTTGACTCATATCAATCCATGAGCCAATGAAAAATGGATTGATTTCTGCTCCTAAATCATTTAATCTGTCAATTTCAACCTCTGGAGCTCCTACATTCCAAAAGAAATCTACCATTTTTTGAATCAATGCTCCTTGTGGTCCATCAACTCTCCAACTTAATTTATTTGTGTCAGCAGAAACACATAATGTTAATTTAGCAACTTCTCCAGCTTCCATATCAGTGTTAGTTGGTAATGAATCTTTCCAAATACCAAGAAAATCAAGAACTCCTTCTGGATTATTTGACATTAACCATTTAAACATTTCTTTTGCTATATCAATTGATTGTGTTCCAATTTTGTTTGGTATATTTCCTGGAATATTTAATGCCCAATTTGATGAAGAATTACCTGTTGTTTGTGAAGAAATAGATTGTTGTTGAGGTACTGGTGGAACATATGGTTGTTGAGTAGTTGTTGGTTCATTTACTGGTGCAACATATGATTGTGTCATAGGTGGTGGTGCCATAGGTTCTGAAATAGATGAAACATTAGGAGGTGGTGCATATGTAGGTTGTGTTGGAATAGAATTTGAAGTGTTATTTTTTTTATCACCTGAAAGAACTTGATTAATTGCTTTAAGAAATCCTTTTAAATCTGTTTCTGATTCAACAAAAATTAAGAACTCACGTTCACCTTTAACTCCTCTAGAATTAATTGAAAAAGAAAATTTTTTCTTTTGTCCTGGTTGAGTTAAATCTTTTACTTCAGTTCCTGGTGTTAAATCAATCCATCCCTTTGCTTCAGTGTCATTCTTTCCAGCAAAATACCACATTTTTCTATCTTTAATTACAAACCATCTTCTTTTCCATGACTTCCATGATCCTCCTTGTTTAGTTGCCCATCCCTCAAAGTTGCTTGGTTGTAATGATGCTACTGATACATTAATTTTATGTGACATTTATCGAATGGATTTTTTGTTCATTCCAGTTCATTCAGATCTCTTTTTTCTTTCTTTCCTTAAAAAAATAAACCCTTTAATTTTAAGTTCTCATCTTCGCTTAGTATTTTCTTATTTTTCCTGTCTTTTCCCACTTTTTAAGTACTTTCTTACAAATTACTAGTTCTTATTAAATCTATTTTCAGAATTGACCAGTGTAACTTATTCATTAACGTGTTAAAGTAATTACTAAAAATTTTTCTATTTCTTTTTACACTGAATTTCGTGTTTATTTCTTTTTTGCCTTAACTAAACTTTGAAAAATAATAACAACCTCAAAAACCAAACAATCAGAATTATCTTATTCATCTTCTTTACTCTTTGATAACATTTCAGACCCTTCCTCTTCTTCTTCTGGTTCTTCATCATCACAAATAAATCCATCGTATACATAATTATCATCACCTTCATCTTCTGACATAATATTATCATCATTAATATCTTCTCCATCAGTTTCTTCATGAAGATGATCATTTGAACTTTCAAGATTATCATCACTCTGGTCCATTTCTCTATTATATTCTATTTCTCTTTCCATATCACTTCCTAAATCTTCACTATTAATATAATCATTACCAAAAATATTATTATTTTCATACTCTTCTTCAAAAGCAGAAGATGACATTTCATCATCACTTGAAAGTTCATCATCACTTGACTCTAAATTATCATAGTAATTTCTTTTATTTTGTGCGTATTCAAATAATAATACATTTGCACGTTCTTTTTTAACAATCACACCAACTTGCTTTGCTTTAATAGACACATCTGGTATTCCACTGATATATCCATCTCCCATAACTTTTGAATATTCAAAGCATGAGTCAACAACATCTGTTCGACTAATCATTTTACAATCCATATTAAATGCAGCAAAGGTTGTGTTAAATACTAATGAATGACCTTGATGTTCTTCAGTTTCATCATATTTAAAACTAACAAAAATGTCATCATCAATAACTCGTGAATAACACCCACTTAATAAGTCTGTTGTTTTCTTTAATTTTAACATTCTAAGATCCCACAATTCTGAGTCAATCAACACATCAAGACAATCAGAAGTAAACATCCCTCCATTATAATTTGTCAAAAAATCAAATGTATAGATAGGATTTTTTTGTCTCATATCAAATAGACGTCTTGAACTAAATAGTAATGAATCACATGGAGAAAATACTGGTGGAGATGTGATTGGAATATCAGGAATGATGAGTGTTTCAATAAGTTCTGAGGTTGCTGAATCAATTAGATCAAGTTTTTTCTCTGTTCTACTTGCTCCACAAATTATATCTCCATTATTAGATATAGTAAAAGCACCATATCCTTCAATTCGATTAATAGGATTAGTTGTAGTATCTCTTTGTTGAAGGTCAGTTAATAAAAAGGTCATTAAACTTCCATTTTCATTAAGAGCATAAACTCTTTTTTCATTAACCATTAATTGGTCAATTGAATGAATTCCATCCCCATTATAAGCAAACCAATCATAATATGTTTTATCATTTTCAAACATTTTTAATGCCCCTGAATTTGTTCCAACGATTAATCCATCATCAATAATTGCTAAACTACTTACTTGTGAATCAACTTCAGGAGAATCAATAATAAATCTTTTAATTGAATTAGAACTATATGCTAAAGTCATATTATATTGGTTTGCATACATTGTATTATTTCCATAACACATTCTATTCATTAATCTGTGTGCAAGATTTAATGAAATTTCATTATTTTTACAATGAGTATTATCACAATGGTGTTTTTGAGTAACTTTTTGTTCAGGAATAATAGTAGAACATTTTTTACATTGAAGGTGTTGATGAGTGATATAATCTTTTACAACTTCATCAAAAGTCACAGTATCAATAGATTTTTGGTTTGTTAAATTTAATTTTGCTTCTTGTCTTAATGTTTCTGCTGCTTTTATCAATCCTTCTTTAAGAAGATGATTGTAAACTAATGTTAATGCATCTTTTTTATCAAATTCAACAACCATTCTATCTAATAAATTAATATGTTTAATAAAATAATGTTCTTTCTCAATATTATTTCCATTTGTAATAAATTGAATCATTCTTTGTGCAGCATTAATTAATAATTTAATTCCATTATTACTTTCTAATGAAACATTATCACTCATTTTATGTAATACTTTTCCACATAATTCACCAATTTTCAATGGTTTTAATATTGCCATAACTCCATCATCTTCTTTAGACATAATTAATAAAATTTGTATTGAAAAATAAACTATATCAACATCTAATTTATCATCAAATTCACAATCCAATAAATTCATTAATCCAGTAACAAATCCATTTTTCTTTAATGTTTCAATAATTTGATGATTTTGTTCTTTATTTGAAATACAGTGAAATACTGTTCTTGTAACACTTAGTATAATTTCTCTTGAAATATTAACATCTTCAATAAATGTTTTTAACATTGCAGGTCCATTAAATTCTTTAGTATATTCAATGTTTGAATCTTTTAATTCATCAATTTCTTCATCACTTTGTAATTCTTCTTCCATTACACCCTCTACCTTTTTTTGTTTTGGTTCATTCATAATGACTTGACTTGCTTCTGGGACTAAAGAAGCAAATTGAAGAATATCAAATAGAATTTCAATCATTCCATTACAATGAGCTTCATAATATCCACAATTAATATTAATCCCATTAATTATTCTACAAAATAACTTAATTAATCCACTTTTTACAAGTGCTTGAATGACTGATATATGTTTAAATAATTCAATACTTCCATTTGTTTGATATATTAATTTAGAATATAAATCTCTAATTCCTGTTGAAGAAACATAAACACTTTGATATGGTTGATTTGGATAACCAAGAGTAGTGAAAAAATGTTTTATTATTGGAGCATGTATAATGTCTCTTACAAAACTAAAACATGGAATAATTATATCTTTATCTTCAGATTTTGATGATGCATAAATAATAACTTGTTTTAATATATTAGTATCTATAATAATATCAAAATTATCTGGGATAGAAAGAAGAAGTTTAAGTACACCTAATGTTGCTTTTTGTCTTAAGATTAATAATGAAGTTAATGAATCAACACAATTAATAATAAATTGTTTAATTGCTTTTGCTCTATAATCATGTAATAATGAAATAATTTGATGTTCATAAACAATACCTGTAAACATATTTAAAAGTCCATTTAATCGTTGTTCATTTATTGTGTTTATTTCTGATGGAAATCCTTGAATTAATTCTTTACAATAGTCTTGTGCCATTGACATAATATTTCCTATAAAATACATTGCTTCACTATATAAATAATCATTATAAAGAATAAAACTCATTTGAATTCTTTGTTGTAATACATATTCTTCATTCATTAATTCTTCATTTTTTTCCCATTTAATATCATCTCTTGTTACAATAATTCCTGATGTAACTTTATTGATTTTATTTTTTATATTATTGTTAAATTGAATAAATGGTGTTCCTACAGAATTAATAACATCATTTGGAAATCTTTTCATTGAGCAATAACATCCTTTTAATTCCAATAATTCCCAAAGTTCATTCGATATTTCTGAACATTTTACATCAGTACTACTATCAAATAAATTAATTTCTTTATCTTCAAATGTTCCTTTTTGTGCTAATGCATCAATATTATTACTAATATTTCCTTGATTATCAATATTAAATCCATTGGTATGAATAAAAGTAAGTAACACTCTTTCTCTAAATTCAGTACAATTATCCAACATATCATCTCGTATAACAATTATTCCAAATATTATCATAGCATAACAAAATGCTTTTTTCTCAAATGAATCTGCTTTTTGACATATCCAATTAATTAATTCTGTTTTTACATCAACACTTTGTAATGCTTTACTTGATAAAGCTCCACAAAGCATTCTAAGTCCATACATTGCATTCTCATTAAATTCTTGTGTAGTCCACATCTTCATAAAATCAACACATTTACTAAAAACTTCAGGGTCAATATCACTTAATATAATAGAGTTAAATTCTTCTTGAGCTTCTATCATCGCCCTTCTTTCAAAACATGATGATAAATGGTCGCATGCATTTCTCCATTCCTCAATTCCTTTTTGACATTCAATCCGTTCTAACATAAAATTATTTAATTTTTCAAGTTCATTTTCTATATCAACACTATGACTATCAATTGTTTCTTCTAGTGATTCACTAACTTCTTGTCCTGAGTCGTAAGAGTAATCAATACCATGCATCTTGTATTTACTATTCCTTTAATTTTTTTTCGTGTCTTTCAAAGTTTATTTTATATTTTTTATTCTTCAAATAAAAAAATAATAAAATAAATTAAATTTAAATTACTTCCTCAAATGGAAACAATCATATTAATATGACCTTCCAAAACATCCGTATGTAGTTGCTTTCTTTCCACATTGGAAACAAACTGCTCCTTCTGGAAGTGGATCTTGTTTCAATGGAATACAAAGTACTTTAGCAGATCCTGTTAAAATAGCTTGTTCTTTATCAGACTGACTCTTAGCTCTTTCAATTGATTCAGCAGCTGATCTAGTCTTAATACACTTTTCACATTCTTCTCCTTCACACCATGGTGCTAAACATGAACATCTCTTATCAAGACTATCCATAAATTCATTCCATGTAGAAATTTTGACTACATGTGCATCTCTTGCTTTAAGTGCTTTTTCATACATATCATGATGCATTTCATCAATAGTCTTTTTAATATTTGTAATTAAATCTTCCCAACTTGATTCACTTTTAGCACCATTATCTCTTCTAACAATAACAACTTTCTTTCCTTCATAATCTCTTGGACCTAATTCAATTCTTATTGGAATACCTCTCATTTCATATTCTGAGAATTTCCATCCTGGTTTATGCATTTCATTAGTATCAGCAAATGCTCTAATTCCATTATCAATTAAAACTTGTGTTAATTCTTCAGCTTTAGCATCCATTTCATCGTTAGGAGATCCTTTATGGTGAAGAGTAATAATAACAACTTGTTTTTGTGCAGCACGTGGTGGAACAATAATACCTTTATTATCTCCATGTGTCATAATAGTAACACCAATAGAACGTGTAGATAATCCCCATGAGTTTTGCCAAACAAGTTGTTTCTTGTTATCTTCATCTTCAAATTCAATTTGGAATAATTTAGAGAATGTTTGTCCAAGATGATGAGAAGTTGCTGCTTGTACTGATCTTCCATTAGTTGGAATAATACATTCAACAGTTAATGAATAATATGCACCTGGGAATGTTTCTCCTTTAGATTTTTTTCCTCTAATAACAGGAACAGCAAGAAGATCTTCATAAACAGATGCATATAATTCTAAAATTTCATGACATTCTTTTTCTGCTTCGGCTTGTGTAGCAAAAGCAGTATGACCTTCTTGCCATAAAAATTCTCGTGTTCTAATAAATGGATATGGATGTGAAAATTCCCATCTAACAACATTACACCATTGATTAACTTTGATTGGTAAATCTCTATGTCCAGAAATCCAATTCTTAAATGCTGGATAAATAATTGTTTCTGATGTTGGTCTTAATGCAATTGGTTCTTGAAGATCAGATTGTCCTGATTTAGTAACCCATGCAACTTCTGGTGTAAATCCATTTAATTCATCTTCTTCTTTTTTAAGAGTAGCTTGTGAAACAAAACATGGGAAATATGCATTTTCAACTCCCATTTTCTTAATTCTAACATCAATAAAATGTTGGATATTTTCCCAAATTCCATAAGCAGATGGTTTTAAAATATAACATCCTGAGATATCATAATATTCAATCAATCCTGATTGAACTACAATTTGAGAATACCATTCTGGGAAATTTCCTTCTTT